CGGTGCCCCCCCGGCCCCCCCCCCGCCTCTGTACCCGAGGCAGGCTGCACCCCCAGCCTGGGTGGCTGGGGACGGCTTTGGTAACTGTTTGCTACAAATATATCGGTTGATTAAATATATTTTTTATTTTTTATATATATGTGTGTGTGTGTATAAATAAAATATATATTTTTAAAAATATATGTTATATATAAAAATATATTTAAAAAAAAATTAAAATATATATCTGGACAAATATTTTCAGTGTGGTCTGAAAAGCGCTGGTGTCACGCGTGTGGGCGGTGAGCCGACGTCCCTCTCTGGCTGTTTCTGACCAAGAGCCCCGTGCCGGAGGCATCCCCATCCAGGGACATGCAGTGACTGCGAGCCGCACGGCCGGGAGGAGCATCCTGCTTGCGTTTAGCTGCGGTTAGCTGGTATGACGGAGGAGGACGGTGGTGTTTGTTGCAGTACAGCATGCAGTACGAAATCGAATTATTCTGACACCTCTCCCCCTTGCTGCCGTTGACCACAGGTGGGTTTGTTAATCACCCCAGTGGTGCGACTGGCTGCGTGGGCACGCGGTGTCATTGATCTGTTTACTTGGCGTTTCCCACGTGGCCGCCGTGTTGTGGCGAGGACTTTTATTTTTCGCTGCGGCAGGTGACAGCCCTGGTGCGTGCATGTGTCAGCCCGAGGGACTGAGTCACAGCCCTCCCTCCGCCTGGGACCGACAGCACTTCCCCTTGCCGGGGCAGGGAGCCGGGGCGCGAGATGCCAGCCCACCTCCACAGGACAGCTTACCTGCCAGCATGTTGCTTTATTTTTATTTTTTTTTTTAAAGAAAAGACTGAGAGATGGTGATGGTGAGATCAACTTTCTCTGTAACCCAAACCAGTGAAAAGTAAAATCCATCTCACCACATCAGTTTTGTTTTCACTGCTGGCTCACGCTGTCCTCTCCCTGTGGCAGAGCCCTGCATAGTCATTCAGTGCCCGGCTTGGGGGTGGTGTGGTTGTTAGCTCAGTGGTGTATGACCCATTTATTTTC